AAAAAAAAAAACAATGCAAAGAAAAAAGCCCCAACCTAACCCTCCCCCTCCTCAACCCTTGACCCTTGACCCTTGACCCTTCAGCCCCTCCCCCTCCTCAACCCTTGACCCTTCAGCCCCTCCAATCGTCCACTCACCAGTTTCACAAGCGCTGGAGGCAGGAGCTGGGCAAGGTCAGCAGACCCAGGGTCCACCTCCATGACGTCACAAGCCCGCCACTTCCTGTCCTGCTCCCTGCAGTGGTGTAGGACGGCCGAGGCGTAGCTAGAGAGAAACCTGCAGCAAACACCGGGGACTCATTACACAAGCCGTAATTAATACATTAATTAAATAAACTACGCTTTGGTGTTTTAGTAAGTGTTTTACAGCACTTGCAACGCAATAAGGTCATAGAAGTGCCAAAGGATTAGAGGTGTTACAAGAGAGTAACAAACACAAAAAAGAAGGAGAGATAAAGACAATAAATGTTTGATAGGAAAGAAGAAACAAACCACATCAGAGCACCCGCCAACCACCCACAAACTACACATTGGTGTCACGATGAGGTGGAATCTGGCACTGGTCAAGTTTAGCATATGGAGTTATTGGTGTCATCTTAAAACCTGGACATTTGCCCTGATTTTGATTTTTAAAAATAAATATCGGTTTATCTTTGATACAAGTCAAGCTATTGGCGATTGAAGGAGGAGGGGGTCGCCTTGTTTCAGAGGCTGCCAAACTTGAGTTATTTCCTCAGCTTGAGAATCCATTGGAAACAGAAAATTTACATTTTAATGCCCTTAATCAGCGTTTTTCAGTAAAACTCCACACAGAAATATGTTCTTTAATGGGCATAAAAGGTGTTGAGCCAAAAACAAAAGGTGGATCAAATTCATAAACTTGCGGAAAAATGCCAGTTTCTCGACTTTCAATATTTTGACGAGCGCCTGATTCCATCACGATGCCTCACATTTATTGATCCTGTGTGGAACTTTGGGTCACAATGGCAAATATACATACATAAATACATAATTAAACACAAAAATATATATACACAATCAATACCAATTACACATTATCACACAATTGCAGAACAATTTCACAAACATGCCATTGCTTCATTGCTGATCGCCACTGTGTTGCGCCTGTTGATCCTGAGCTAGGGTTACCGTGTCTCGCTAAAGGACACACTCAAGTGACCATCCATCTAAATACTGTGTCACCCATATTTGCTGGACACTATTCTTGTGTCAGAACTCACTCCTCACTCTGCCCCTGGAGCCACTGACAAGCTGTTGGTCACTAACGGCAACGGGACAACTCCACAACATTTTCCACAACCTGCTTTTTGATTGAGATGACACTTGAGTCAGGTTACAGAAATACAACTTCCTGTATCAGTTACATCGAAGCATGGCGTAAGCCACAAATAGAACGGACAACTCAGTTACATCGAAGCATGGTATAAACCACAAATAGAACAGACAACTGTTACATCGAAGCATGGCGTAAGCCACAAATAGAACGGACAACTCAGTTACATCGAAGCATGGCGTAAGCCACAAATAGAACGGACAACTCAG